TTAACATTTATTTATTTTTGAGAGACAGAGAGAGATAGAGCACAAGCAGGGGAGAAGCAGAGAGAGAGGGAGACACAGAATCTGAAGTAGGCTCCAGGCTCTGAGCTGTCAGCACAGAGCCCAATGTGGGGCTCGAACTCACAGACGGTGAGATCATAACCTGAGCTGAAGTCAGCTGTTTAACCAACTGCATCACCTAGGTACCCCTGGAGGAGGAGATTTCTGAAGGGTATCAGAACTCAGTGGAAATTAAGTTGAAATTAAGCTGAAATTAAGCTGACTGTGACGGCAGGGTAGGACTTGTCTCAGTAGAGAAAAAAGATACTTAGGGGCTTCAGCAAGAAAATAAACTTGGTGTTATTTGGCTTTGGGATAGAATGACCACAGCAGTCAGTATATGATTTTTGGCTTGATCTATTTTGTTTTAGTGGCTTGATCTGTTTTTGATAGGTGTTAGTAGAAGATAAAATAGAACGAGATTGTCAGGCTTTGGATGTCATTGGAAATTATTGAAAGATTGTCACAGTATTTGCATAAAGCATTATTTTAGAAGGGTTACTTTGGAAATGGTGTTTAGTGGTAGTGGGAAGAGGCTGAAGACAGGTAGAAATCTTTAAATAGCATAGGTTTAAGATAATAATGTTCTAGATTAGGATAATGGTAGAAATAAGGAGCAGAGGGGAGGGTTCTCTCTGGTTCATGATCACCACCAGTTCTCTTTGCCCTTTACTCTAGTTTGGGAATCTTGGGTGTTAATAATTTACCGTTAATGGTCTGCTTAGTCCCACTGTCTACCTTTCTGAGATTTGGTTTGGAGAGAAATCCACACTATTGGTGTATCTCTGGAAAGTTCTTATGGATCTTGTTTTATTGGGGGAGCAAATAGATATTAATTGGAAAGTTTTTTTTTTTCCACAGGGTTGGAAGTTCTCAGTCCCCCCCCCCCCGCTTTTTTAAAAAAAATATTTGCTTATTTATTTTTGAGAGAGAGAGAGTGTGTGTGAGCAGGGGAGGGGCAGAGAGAGAGGAAGAGAGAATGTGAAGCAGGCTGCACACTGTCAGCGTAGAGCCTGATGTAGGGCTCGAACTCATGAACCATGAAATCATGACTTGAGCTGAAGTCAGACCCTTAACCAACTAAGCCACCGAGGTGCCTGGAAGTTGTCAGTCCTTTTTATAGAGTAAGTAGGGGGACACCTGGATGGCTCAGTTGGTTAAGCATCCAACTCTTGATTTTTTCTCAGGTCACGAGCTCATGGTTTGTGGGTTTGAGCTCTGCCTTGGGCTCTGCTCCAACATTGCGGAGCCTGCTTGGGATTCTCTCTCTCCCTGTTTCTCTGCCTCTCCCCTGCTCATGCTCTCTCAAAATAAATAAAGAATAATTAGAATTTTTTGTATATTTAATTGAAGTTAGGCTTGTGTGTGTGTGTGTGTGTGTGTGTGTGTGTGTGTGTGTGTGTGTTCTGTCGATTAGATTAGCATGGTCCTAATTGTCTGAATATCTTTTTGTTTTTTGGTAACTTTGTACTTCTGACCTTAACCAAGGAGAGTGCACATGAAACTACATAGATCATTAACACAAATCCTTCAACTGTTTGATGTAAACACAGAGCACACGAGATATGTGCATAGTCTTTATTTACTTGGGATATTTTAAGTCGCTTTGTCTTTTGCCTTAAGAAAGCAATTAAGTATAAAACTTGACATCTATGGAATGTGGATGTTGGCTTTGGAGAGTCCTCATATCAGTAAAGTGGGTTAATTTTAGCAGTTCCTAGAGCTGTTTCTACTCAAAATGTTAGTGTTGATTAAATTGGAATCATTAAAACTTTAATGGACAAAAATTACCCTTCTTCATGTTTTTTGGTTTCATTTTAGCCAAGATATTTGCTGAAGTTTGAACAAATTTACCTCTCCAAGCCTACCCATTGGGAAAGAGATGGTGCTCCTTCACCAATGATGCCAAACGAGGCCAGATTAAGAAATCTCACGTAAGAATTTTTCCAGTAGCTGATATTGAAATACCATTCAGAAAATGTAAATTTAACCAGTTGAGAGATTTAGTAAACATCTTACTGTTACTTGTGATCTACTTTTGTTTTTAAAGGTATTCTGCTCCTCTTTATGTTGACATAACCAAAACTGTCATTAAAGAAGGTGAAGAACAACTTCAAACTCAGCATCAGAAAACTTTTATAGGAAAAATTCCAATTATGTTGCGTTCAACTTACTGCCTGTTGAATGGTTTAACAGATCGTGATCTTTGTGAGTTAAATGAATGCCCCTTGGATCCAGGTGGATATTTCATTATTAATGGGTCAGAAAAGGTATAGTAAGCATTATTTAAAGAAAATTATAAAATCATAATAAAGATTTAAATTATGAAAGTTGAAATTAAAAAGTAAGCTTGTATACAGAATAACCTGGAAGTTTAAGATGCAGATTTTTTATTCTTCTTTCTACTTCAAGGACCTGTGGGTTTTATGGTGTAACTTTTTTATTGTCCACAAAGGTTCTGATTGCTCAAGAAAAAATGGCAACAAACACAGTCTATGTGTTTGCCAAAAAGGATTCTAAATATGCCTACACAGGAGAGTGTAGATCATGTCTGGAGAATTCTTCCCGACCCACCAGTACTATTTGGGTTAGCATGCTGGCGAGAGGAGGACAGGTATGGACTGGAATATGATATTGTTTGGGTTTACTTCTTTTTGTCTTGTCTTATAATTTTTTTTAAGTTTGTTTATTTTGAGAGAGAGCATGAAGAGAAGAGGGGCGGGGGGATGGGGGGAGAATACCAAGCAGCTTCCATGCTGTCAGCACAGAGCCTGATACAGGACTTGATCTCATGAACTGTGAGATCATGACCTGAGTCGAGATCAAGAGTCGGATGCTTAACCAACTGAGCAACCCAGGCACCCCCTGTTTAGACTTATGGTTTATCAGGCTGCATTCTTAGAGCTTTTCTGGACTATATTGTCAGTGTTATGTGGTAGGTATTGTATTATTTACTTATTGCTGTGTGGCAAATTCCTCCAATAGCAACATTTATCATCTCACGGATATGTAAGTAGAACCAAATGGCATTTGGAGATATGAGGGCTGAGGGTACAGGAAAAAGGGCAAGATGAAGATTTGCATATCATTTATTTTAAAGTTTATTGAGAGAGAGGGAGGCAGGGAGGGAAGGGGGAGGGGCAGAGAGAGAGAGGGAGAGCAAGAATCCCAGTGGGCTCCGTGCTGTCAGCAGTGAGCCCAATTCTTGACTCAAATCCATGAACCGAGAGACCATGACCTGAGCCAAAACCAAGAGTCGGATGCTTAACTGACTGAGCCACCCAGGTGCTCCTGGAAATCGTTTGTGAATTGTTACTGAACAGCCATAAGATGGGAGTTAAGGAAGGAGGCCTAAAGTAGGAGGAGAGAGATGACAGAAATTGTTATTAGAAGGACCATGATAATGTAGGGTTATGAGGCCAAGAGAAGAGAGAGCTTAATATTGAAGAAAAAAATATAAAATGGAGAGGTCAGTTGATGGTATGTCATTGTAGGTTAGTAATTTTTTGTATGTGTGTAGAATTAAAGAGAAATTGGAAAAAAGAAACTTGTGTGAAAGAAGCTATTTGTTAACTTTGAAATATTCAAGTGAGATACAGATCACCTCTGAATTTTTCATTCTCTGCTGTGTTTTTCCCCCATGTTTGTCTCTGTTTTTTTTTTTCCCTTTAGCCCTCATATCTTTCTTTCAGAGAGTTTTGTGTGTTTTTTTTAGTTTGTTTCTGTTTTTGTTTTCTATGGGGGGAGAGGGTGTGGGATCAGTGTTCATATTCTTTTGTATCCTGATGTAATTTCCAAATACAGTATTGGGTAATTCTGAGAGAATTTTGCCAGGCAGATAGTAGAGGATGGAAGTTTTTTCAGTTCTAATTTTTTTTTTTTTTTTTTCAACGTTTATTTATTTTGGGGACAGAGAGAGACAGAGCATGAACGGGGGAGGGGCAGAGAGAGAGGGAGACACAGAATCAGAAACAGGCTCCAGGCTCCGAGCCATCAGCCCAGAGCCCGACGCGGGGCTCGAACTCACGGACCGCGAGATCGTGACCTGGCTGAAGTCGGACGCTTAACCGACTGCGCCACCCAGGCGCCCCAGTTTTTTCAGTTCTAAATGATCAACCTGTTCATAAAATTAGTAAACCTGTTCCAGTGGTTTTGGAGAGCATCCATGGGATGTTCCTTAGAGTATGAGAGGTATGCGTCTTTTGAAATATATACAATGAACATGTATATGAGTGGTTCTCATGGTGTTTTTATATGGCTGTGATCTCTTTGTATGATACTCTAATGATTTTTATTTTTTCAGGGTGCAAAAAAGAGTGCTATTGGTCAGCGCATTGTGGCAACGCTACCGTACATCAAGCAGGAAGTTCCCATCATTATTGTGTTCAGAGCATTAGGTTTTGTGTCTGACAGAGATATTTTAGAGCATATTATTTATGATTTTGAAGATCCAGAGATGATGGAAATGGTAATGTGAAAGCAAAATGTCTTTGTAGTGTTTTCTAAGAGGTTTGAAGTTACTGACTGTTGCTAATCTTAAAACAGTAGAAAGCTGCTCTGAAGAGTAATTTAGCTGTCAGAAATCCCATGCCATTTACTATTTAGCAAAAGCCTTCAGCCTGTCTTTCTTGACAATTCTGTGTAAAATAGTCATAAGAACTAGAGGCAGCCAACTAGAGGCAGCCAAAAGTTCACTGACAGCAGCAAGAGGAAACCATAGTAAGGAACATCAAAAAGCATACCAGCTTGGTGCAATTTAAAGAAGGAAAGTGAATAGTTGATACAACTTCTTTTTTAAAACTTTTTATTTTGAAATAATTTCAGATTTATAAAAAATTACAACTCTTGTATATTCTTCATCCAGATTCACTGGTTTACCTTTGCTACATTGTGACCTTTGCTACATTTGTTTTAGCATTCTCTATCTATATAAACACATTTTTTTTCTGGACCATTTGAGAGTAAGTTTTGGGCATCATTTCCCTTTACTCTGAAATACTTCAGTGTGTATTTCCTAAGAACCAGGACATTATTCATAATACGTTTACCAAATGTATATATTCATAATACATTTACCAAAATCAGAGCCTTTAACTTAGGTACAGTACTGTTAAGCCATAGATCTTATTCAGGTTTTTGCCACTTGTCCTGATAATGTCCTTAATACTTTTTTTTCCCCCCCCGGTTCAGAATCCAGCCCAGGATGGTGCATTGCATGTCATTTTTAAGTGTCTTTAAGTCTCTTTAAATCTTTCCTTGTCTTTTTCTTCAGTGTTCCATAATATTGAAATTTTTGGGGAGGAGGATAGGCCAGTTGTTTTGTAGAATTTCCCTCCATTTGGGCTTTTCTGGTATTTCCTCATGATTAGATTCAATTTATGCTTTTTTGGCAGGAAAAATAATAGAAGTAATATTGTGTGCTTCCCAGGGCATTGCATCAGGAGTTTTGTGATGGAATTTTGTCCTGTTATTTATAAACTCTACAGTGGTGTCTTAGGTTCCTCTACTGTAAAGTTACTAAATTTGTTGGAAGATTCTTTGAGTCTAGATAAAGAACCATTTCCTTGTCATTGTTTTTCATTGATGATTCTTGTTTCAGTAGTAGTTGATATACTTAAAGTTGTCCTGAATTGTCCGGAGTCTTTAAGACTATAGAGAAAAAAGGTTAAATGGAGGCTACATAAATGTTGGTCACATAGTGAGATGGTGGAGTGAGTACATATTAGTTTTTAGAACATCGATGCAGTTTCATGAGAAAAATGGATTCTGGCTAGATTTTACTTTAAGCTTTTATCAGTAGTCATATTAGTATAAAGTATAAAAGAAAAATACGTGATTTTATCCAAAAGGCATCCCAAGTGATTCAGACTGTATTCAAACTAGAATTTTCTTAGTAAAGTGAAACAGCTGATTGATATATATAT